AGCGCCTGGAAGTAGAGGGTGCCTACGAATCTACACAGGTGAGGTCGACAATAAGTACCAGATCGTTAGGACGAAGACGGGACTAATGGAATGACCGAGGTGAGCCAATCGAAGACTGCTATTCAAAGCAGACAATCAATATGTACTCCCACCAGGCAGTGGCTAACGACACAGCAAATCAGACTGGTGGCCGCACTGAGGATGTTGCCTGGATTGGCAACGAAACGTCTGTAGCATAATTGCTCAGCCCGGAGAAAACATCAACCTCTCATCGAACAAGGTTTTCATATCCCACGATTAGTCTTTGTGAAATGGATCAATGACAAAGATTAATTCACTTTTCTAAGTGATACTGAATATTTCCGTTATTTTTCATGTTGTTAGCTCCACCAATTAGTAGCGGGTTTTTAAATCGGCCGTTACTGCTCTACTTGAACACCGCCCTTACTTAGCAGCTATGGATTTATCAGTTTACATAAAGCAATTTGGAATTTTCTTCTGCGAGACTAGTTACAAGATCACTAACATTGTCTTTAGCCGATTTTGAAAATATACCTTGGGATACTGCGAGAATCCCGCTAAGTTATCAGACGACGTTTGTAACCTAGGAAACCCTCGTCCGGATCGATAAGCTAGTCTTCGACAATGTATCCTCAGCATGATTCTGATACGGGATCGCTTATTTGTATGATACTTTCACATTTAATGCCATTTTTCAGTGGTATAATTTTATAATTTTCTGATGTTGCGTTAAAATATCCACAGTGGTTAAATTGAAATGCTGAACACATACCATCTGGGATATCTAAACTTCATATAGAATAACGGAATAATGTCCAATAGAACGTTTGTAAAGCTGGTTAGCAATACTCGCCAAACACCTTTGTCACCGTGGTCTGAGCTGAGATATGTATCACTGGGTATCCAATATGTAGTGAGACCGGGTAAAATATATTTTATTTGTCCTTTTCTACCTTGAGAACTTCAAAGTCACCTCCGAATACCGTGATAGATACTTCAAGTCGGTCGTTACTTTCCTCTTTGACAAATTCTTTTTTGCTCTAGCCGCTGAGGACTTACCCATTTCACAAATCACTACTAATATTTTGTTAACCTGGACTAATCGGCTGCCATAAATGCACTTTTCTGTTAATATTTTCTAATCTGTCTGGGACAATGCTGTATCATTAAAAATGCTCTTAAATTGAAAGCACTTTTAATGAAGTCAGGAGGAAACATTTTGAAAACTTGTGGAAACACCGTGCTGGCTGGCAAGTCTGTCTTATGTGTCGTTCAATCCACGACAGGCGAACACTACTGCAACAATCCGACGTTAATTCCCAGGAAAATATTGGGTCTTGTTACTATTATATAGCAAAACGTATGTCCGAATGCAGCCGTTTTCATTCTTCCAGTTAGTTAAATACATTCTGATGTAGAAGACCATGTTACCATACATGCTGATCATATACCCAACAAATCCGACCACCTGGGATTAGCATGGAATCGTGAAGGGTATGTCATCACATCCATGCATTAGCGCAGTTGCAAATCGACACTCATAACTTTCACCTACCTATCACTCAGAATAAACTGCCATTTGTTGGATTTATGTCAGAGCTTCGAGTGGTTTACTTTCCACTTTCATTGAAGAGCATACATATCCCTCAATTCACAGGTGTTGGAGTTTAAAAACTTTGCGGATAATCCATCCTTCATGTTACAGCCAAAAGCTGAGTACCCACTCTCTGTTACCGCAAAGTAATTGATCACAATCAACACATCGTTTAACCAGGCACTTGCTTTGAAGACATATTGGCCTTTCCGATTGAATTAGACCAGCATCTAAATTTTGCCTTCAAAAGTTTGCTTGGTTGCGTGTAAAGCAAAAACTAGCCCAATTCGACAACTCCCATAATTGTTTCATAAATGTATGTCTAGTCGTTTAGGGTACGACCGACTCTGGTTCATTAGAAAATATGACTTTGGGGCACTGTTAGGGGAAGAGATTCTTCCGCATCCAACACTGTTAGACTTTGAACAGCGCTTACAAATAGTTTTCACTCAGTTTTTACCAACGAGCATCTAGCCGTTTATGGTAAACCACTCGCTTCATATCATGAATGTTGCTTTGTCCTGTGACACCCAGTGGAAACCATGTAATTTGGAGCAGATAAATTCCCCCAAACAATCACTTAAACAATCTAGAAGAAAAAGTGAACGGGTCTGTAAATGTAAACCGATGACTTGTGTTAAATAAATCACTTTAACAACCTTGCGACTAAATATTTTATAAGTTGAAGCCGTTTTCTGCAGGCACAAGTGCCCAGACCTGTTAACACTTTTAGTGTAGTTATGCGGTAAAAGCTTCATTAAGCAGCTTGGTTCCGTGAATGTGTATTACCAAAATGCTGAGTTCTGTTATTTAATACCTAATACCTTCTCATTCCATTTATTCTCACTGCCTTTATCCTCTGGCCACAGCCCAACAATTTAGTCATACATGTTGACGTAGATCATGAACTCAGGGATTTGAACTTGAAGAAAGCACACGGGTTTGATACTTGTTTATCGGTTGTCATGAATTGGCTTTCCCACGCTCCCTCCAAGCCCTTGATAGATCGTTGAAATTTTCGCCGACAGTTATTGGCCTGTCAGGATAACGCACAGGCCAAATAAATGGTCTTGGGAATTCTGTCCAATCATATACTCGTCCGTCATGCTGAAAGTATTCTAGCGCTTATCCTGTCTCTGGGCTCAAAAACTCCAGCAGTGAACACATCCCTGTTTGTGTACGGGCGCTGCCTTTCCATATGGGATGCCGTAGCATACGGTATTCAAGCAACAGTAACTACCTTAGACACGAAACGCAAAAGTGTATGGCCTCTCTACTTTGATTACTCTAACCCTTGGCGGTGTCGACATGTTAAAATTGCTTAATCCGCTGTATGCGACCTGTGTACAACCATTATGGTGCAAACCGATGAGCAACCACTTAGTGAATCCATCATATTTTATCCAGATAAATCGTAACCTACCGCCACTTTTCTTGATTAATGAGGCATTTAATAAGGAGCTATCTTATCCCATGTATATTCTTATTTCATATCGAAATACTCCTAATTCTTTCCAAATTTATTGGACGCATGCAAGCTGACTACGTATTTCTAGGCAATATTGCTCCAAAGGTTGGATCGTCATTGGCTCTCCATAATGAGTTGGATGACCTTTATTCGTGGTCATCATGTCGATCACTTATCCACAATGCTTCTAAATGCTGTGATGAAAATTTCTCACTCATCCTAGCTAGTAAGGCTAGCCATTGTCTTCTGCACAATTGGTAACTGTCATAGCAGCAGAACATGAGCCGGGTTATATCATAGTCAACTGTCAATCACGCAGGTCTGCGGCTGTCACCCATGGCGAAGTGACACTAACTGCTGGCATCCTAAAGTCATGGGGGCGGAACCCAACATGGGTCCGCTGGGAGGCGCACCACTGAGGAGACATAGAAGGTCGAAACGCAAGCGTATGGTGTTTTCCCAGATTAGCCTAAGTCTGCTGTTCGGGAGTGGCAATGATGTATTAGATGACTTACACCAAAATCCCCACTATTGCTCATCAGTATGTATAAATTTGTCAAACATTTCCCGCCTAATTTTCGCTAGAGTCCAACAAACCAGCGAATCAATCAACTATTATGCAACGTTAAGCTATCTATGCCCAAGTCTAAACAATTTGGTGAAACGTGCTGCACGGTGCGAAATTCTGCATCTTTTGTCCTGAGATTCAAAATAATTTCAGAACACTGTTATTTAATTTACAAATTTGTGAATGCTTGTATTCTTTCGCATTAACTATTTTGCACAAGTAACATTTTGGTTGGTGGTTAGGTGCTGCTCCTCCCAACCCTGACACACCATAACCGGTTTCGTCCTCCTTTGGACTCATCAGATGGACTGGGGGTGGACGTCGTGGCTTAGTGTTCAAATGTTGACGCCTTGACCACTATGGCTCCTAGGTCCGCGAGCAACGCTTGGCACAGCGGTACAGAGTTCCAGATGGTATTTGGTGTACCCGCTGTGTAGTTGGATTGCGACTCGCAATCTCTATTCAGACCTCGGTCCTATTTGAGTAGACCTCGGTCATTGCGATCGCATGGACCGTAAACGAATGGGTGGTTGGATGTTGCTACTCCCAACCGTAACACCGCATAACCGGTTTCGTCCTCCTTTGGACTCATCAGATGGAGATAGCCTGAGCCGGGGTGGACCTCGAGGCTTAGTATTCAAATGTTACGCCCTGACCACTATGGCTCCTAGGTCCGTCAAGCTCATTTTCGGGTGTATTTGCTTGTCCCTAGAATCTCTGGTTGGCTTTGTCTATACTAGACATTGTTTTGCAGGTTACATGTTTTCATCAAAGATTTAAAAGAAATATTTTTGCCTTCCGCTTTTTCTTTCATCAAGATCCCCTCCTTTCCCTTATCCGAGCTATATTTATGGTTTGTTTTCTCGCATATAATGTTGTCCTATTTCTGTCCAACCGTAATTGTCCAGCTTTCATGTGGACTTACTAAAGGTATTAGTACTCTGCGTTAATACTTATCTGGGTGATGTGCATGCATATTTTGTTTCCTCCAACATTTTGATTCCAGCTGCATGTCAATGTTATGCTTCAATACATCTGCCGTGTAAGATGCTGAGAATGTTCCCAGTCGGGTGCGGAAAGCCTAGTTTGAATTGACTTGACTTGGGTGATCACACGTCAATCTGCAATGGAATGGTTACCTACTACATGCATAGACTCGAATCACTACACTTTACTTGTTTGTCTGTTCAATTAGATTAGCCGACATATGAGATCTTTTCGCTTTTGATAAGAACAATCTACACTTTAACGTCTGGTACAAAGTAGATCTGTGTAGCCTTGGGTTAAGCAAAATTCAATGCGTTAGTCCACGACAAGAGTCAACGATACTAATATGTTTATTACAATTATCAATTAATAATTTCAACTGTTGTTTCCAAAATCCATTGGTAGTAGTAGGACACACGAGTGAAAATAAGCGGACCGTCGTTCTCTGCACGCCCAATTAATAAACCAGCAACAAATTCGTCATTTGATTTTTGCAAAATGAACACACCTCCGGTGGCTTCCTGAAACGAAAGATAGTATACATAATGAATGATACATCCACAATATCCACTAAAAGCAGTTCATGCGAACTAAATTCCTGAAGCTGATTTGATTGCTTAACTTGGAAATTTGATTGCGGGTACTTTACAGATTTTTCAGCAATTATTTTGGAGTTTTCTACTTGTATGCTCTGTTCTTCTGGAAAATCACATTTATAGGTCGGGTGGCACAAGTTTGATTTTTGTATATTATTTTGGATGGCCAAACACGGGATTTCAAGAGCATTAGCTGAAAACCAGTCCGGATGCAACTCAGTTAATAGCAAACAATATTGCCTTAAAGATCAACTTTTCGGCTAGTGGGGAATTCATTGATCCAGCAACAACATACTGGCGTGAAGCCATTTACATACTTAGTGGGTCGACCACCCCAACTCTAGTCGAAACGTCAGCGACCAAATTAGACGGTATCCTAATTTTCTTCTAGCGACAACGGCGCCAGTTATCTGTCATTGATCTCAATGTGCACAGTTTAATTGTACTTGAGTTTCATGTACGAATTTATACAGAATCGAAAATGGGAAGCAATTCATTAGGAACGCACGCACTCAGTACCGAGCTACCGAATAATAATTTTAAATTAGCTACGCGTGATTCCAAAGAATACTTGGTTGGTGATTTGGTCTGCACCACAGCTCAAGCTCTATATTTAGTTTAAACACGACTAGTGTACATCCCGCCCTACTTAAGCCTCTGGCTGATATCCTTCAATATTCTGTAGTGGAGTTATTCAACCAGTCTTTTCAAGAAGACAAGCGGCCACGTGACTGGAAGGAGGCGACTATTATTGCCATCCACGAAAGGGGTTCTAATTCGGTACCACTTAACTATGGAACTGTTAGTTCAACCAGCATCATGATGAAGTGCTTGGAAAAGCTTATAAGAAATAGGACCTGTGAGCACTTGATTGAGCACAATCTAATTAGAGCGGAACAGCATGGCTTTCTTAAAATGAAGTCTTGTCTTACCAATTTACTCTGTTTTTAGACGAGATTACCCGATGTCTTGTTAGTGCGGTAGTGGTGTGTTGTTTGGACTTCAGTAACGCCTCTGACTCAGTGAATTATCGATTTTTAATTGAGAAGCTGACATAGTTTGGATTGCATCCTCAGATATTACTGTGACTCTCTGAATTCTTACGTGGGAGGACATTCAGAGTCCGAGTTGGGAAAGCGGTTTCTAGTGTTGACCATGTCTACAGTGGTGTCCCCAAGGTTCGGTACTGGGTCCTTTGTTGTTTATTATGTTTATAAATGACCTAGCTGTTCTTCTTGAGGGTCTCTGCTATATCTTTGCACATGACTTGAAGCTAGTCAGTAGGGAAACCGAGTGACGTTGGCTATGGACATCATCACTATGGCGAATTGTTCGAGCCAAAGGAATCTACCTCTGAAGTCCAATAAATATCAATTACTGACCAATAGTGTCAGCGGAATCGCATTTCAGTCTCCTGCAGGATCTCTAAAAAGTGTGAAATTATCAACAGCTGCTGTTCGTGATTCAGACCAAGATCAGCAGTTAAATATGCAAATGCTGTTTGCCTTCATGAATATCGACTTCATATGCGCTGGTAAAGCATACTTTATTGTAAATCGCATTCGCTTAGCCACAGTCTATTTGTAGTCGTGCCCTCTGTATCTTTAGTGCATTGGTTGTGTTTTGCAAAATCCCGGATTACCTGTTAATGCGTAGTATCACTTTTAGCAGACTTAAGAATGGCCTAGTGCCCCAAACGTGTAGCAAGAGCGCGTCAGATTTACATTATACAGGCAAACTGGCACAGTGTAGTTGGTGTTGTTTCCCGCAATTGTAATCATGAAAAACTGAACCTGTATCGTAGACACATTCTTATACCGAAAAGATTACAGCATAAGCAGCTGGAGAGTGTTGCACACATCCGGCGATGGTGCCAGATCTCGATTGAGGCAGCAGTTAGCATGGGTTACCAAAGAATAGATCCCATAATTTTCTCCACATTACTTAAGTTGGAAATTTGTGGTGGTGGTGGTGGAGATTGTTGCATGGTTCAAGTGTTCATTTGTTCTCCGAGCTTGGTGGTTTTCTCGAAAATGCTTCACCACCATGCGTGGTGACTTTCCCAGTGCAGTGAGATGTGGCGTGCAATCGTACTGAATAAATCTTCCATCTGTGACCGACCTGCAGGTGACTTTTGGAAATGGCAATGTCGATTTACGTCCCTTGACCTCTGCCTACTTACACCAAGAATAACCTAGGCGCCTGGGTTTTTCTACCTTAAACCGCGTGACAAAATGTTCTTCGTTGATTTCTGTCGAACTGGTTCGTATATCTAATCCATGTCGACGCGAATGCTGGTTGAGCTCATCGTTGAGATCCACGGTCCCAGGAATTCCCTTTCTTTATGGTTTAATCCCTTGCCAAGACTTCTACTTTGCTACAATCGAAGCTGTGTCCTTCTTCATCTATATGTAATGAAACTAGCTACAATGTATTATACTTTACAAAGGCTCCGTAATCTTTTTGTGTCCCTGTTACCAGTTTTCTTCACGTCTGGCCAACATACTCCCTTCTGCCATCTCGGGAACGTATTTTGTATACCACGTCGCTTTGTTCATGTGCCTGCAGTTTTTCCTTTGGTTTTGAGCGTTTTCCGCAAGGTGGCAGTAGGTTTCTGTGCCACGATAAGATGATGCTGTTTGATTGGTCTGACTGCCAGTTCCGATATGTTCTGCACATAAAGCAGAACAACTCGTTTCTTCATTGTTGTTGTCGTTGCTGTTGCCGCTGCTTTTGCTGTTGTAGTTGTTGCTATCGCTGCTTTTGCTGCTGTTGTGGTTGTAGGCTGTATGTTTACATTGTTGTGATTCAGACAATTTCTGATGAAGCTTTGTGGGTATCCGTTGAGCTGGAAAACATTAACTAGGTGCTTTTCTTCCTTTTGCTTGGATTCTGTGGTACTGCAGTGTGCTTGCACTCTGCGAAACAATATCTGCACGCAGCCTACTTTGTGACATTTCGGGTGGTTGCTCTTAAAGTTCAGAACTTGATCTGCGTGTGTGTGCCTTTTCTGTAGGCCGATGTTTGCAGCTCGCCTTCCATGCTTCTTGCTATTAATACAACTAAGAAAGAGAGCAGGCCTTTCTTCTCCTGTTCCATTGTAAATTGGATGCCTTCCATGGCGTTATTCAATAGCTGTTGTGCGACTGTTATTTGCTAGAGCCAGATTACCACGAAAGTGTCGTCCACATACCGAACCCACATTTTTGGATTAATGAGTGGTAGTACGTCCTCCTTCAATTTCTGTATAAGCAAATCTGCGATGAGTCCTGACACAGGTGACCCGGTTGATGCAACTTACAATTGCTCATAAATCTTTCCATTGAATAAGAAGTAGGTCGACAGCCACAAGTGGGGTAGTTTACATGCATTTTCGGTCGTATTGTTTTCTGTTTGTTGTTCACAGATGTTCAGTCGTTCTGTGATGACCGCTATTGCTGTGTACAACAGACGTGAAGAGCGCAGGCATGTCGATTGATGTTATCGTTTCAACATTCTCTATTCCCAGGTCATTGAATTTTTTGCAGAAACTGTTGGGCATTGGTTATGAAATATTGCGCTCCACAGATCAAATGTTTGAAGCGTCTCCACATTTCTTTCGCCAGGTTGTAGGCGGGTGTTCCTGGGAGATACACAATAGGCTGCAACGGTGCATCATCTTTGTGCACATTTAGGAGTCCGTAGAATTGCGCGATGTTCTAGTCGCGTGCTCTCATCCTGTCGCGCTCTGCTTTCGTAATTTGCTTCAATTCCTGAAGTTGTTTTAATATTTTGTTTAGTTTATTTGTCAGCTGCGAAGTTGGATCGGTGTCGATGCACCTGTAGGTTGGTGTGCCATTCAAGACGTCTACAAACTATCCCCGATATTTCTTTCTCGTGGCCTGCGACGCCTCGGTTGTCACAGTTCGCTAGATAACAGACAACGGACCTAAAAGCACTCAGCTTGAATGAAGACGCTCAGTTTCATAGTAATTTATGATGTGAAGAAAATGCGGAGCGATATGTTGCCTCCAGGTTTGGGTGAGTAGACGACACCATATCTCTGTCGGTTTGAAGCTGAGATACGTTGTGAACTGCGATCACCTGCTTGTATATACATGTATGCAATCAAAGGTTCCTAGTTTTGTCGTTTAATGCAATGCTACTGATACCAAATTCGTCACCGGATTTCATTGCAGGACTGGTGGCCTCGAAGTACATAAGACCTTAATCATAATAATCATAATGATAATACTAATAATAACAATAATAAGATATTTTGCTCGTGGTACCTAGAAAGGGTACAAACAAGGGAACGGATCATGGGCACAAAGGCAAAGCAGTTGATAGTGGCAACTTGTCCGCTGGCCTTTCCGATTCTACTTTACCGAAATGTATTTCATTAATTCGGATAGAACAAAACTATCTGGCGACATAGAAAGCGAGACAAGTAGAATGTTGCCCGCAAATCGTAGGTTCCATCACAGGAAGACGGTCCAGGATGAGGCATGTGCATTCAGGACTCAAATCAACAAGTGACGACTCCAACAAATTGGTCAGCAAAAATCGAACTGAATTAATATTCTGCTCACAGGAATTATCACGTGAAGGCAGTTCGCACTATAATGACATATTTCTATCCACTATTAGATAGCATATCTCACTGCTGCATAAACACTGGTATCACACAAACTAGACTTTGTTCCGTAGTAGGTGATTGTCCACATTCGAGATCTACTGATGGAAGGAGTCGATTTTGTTCGTCGTACGCTAATTTTCACTCACGAGGACCCAGTAAAAGCAAGCATTGTAAGATCTGTTGGATTGCATTTTGACAGTAAAGTGAGCCAAGGGTTTACAGATTCAACTCTAGTCTTCAGAACAAGTAGAAATTTCCCAACCCTTACTGCTCATCTTTGTTAGTATACATCTGATTGGAGTAATTGATCCAGCGCCTTGTCTTCCAGAAGCAGGTGACTAGTCGTTGATCATCGTTCCTGCAGCAGACACTATATACTACTTAAACAAAGTTAACATATATAGCACAAGTAATCTGGAAGATTGTGTCAGGTGCAGTATGAAATAGAGACAGAAAAAGGATAAAACCCAGACTGACGCTCCTCGTAGTCAGGAAAATGCTGTTAATTCCCCACTGTCCATGACCTAAGATGACGTTTTCCAATACAGGAAAACTCAAAATCTCGTGCGTAGATGTGGTCATCGCAAAATATGTGCAAACATCGCCTTAGTACATATCACAGGGCACAGTTATGACCTAAGCGGCCTACCGCTATCGGACACCTACCAGCACCTTGGTAATTATGATTTCACCCTACACAAAAGGGATTGGAAGTCGAGGTAAAACCTTGCTCCCGTCAAAGCACTTAAGTATATAGGCTTTATAGCTTTGAACCACACTTATGTCCGGTTTGATTTCTTCGGCTAAGAAAACAGAAACAATTGCAACAAAGTTGGCATCAGGTACTGATTAAGATTCGTGGTAGAATATATGCAGCATGTGTACGAAATATCGCCTAGAAATAACTTTTTCTTCCGCCTATAATAAGCACTAATATTATGAGGTGCTGTCTATTAGTAGGAGCAACAAGTACACAAAAAAGGAAGCTTAAATGGAATGATGAACAACATATTAAGATGCTCACCGTGTCGAACATTACCGTAGAAGAAGGGGTTGTATTTGCGCAGAACTGAGACTTCTTGTTGTATTCAGGACCCATGGCCCAAATGCAATCATCCTCGGAAAGGACGCGTAAATTGGTGGATTGCGGTATCACGACACCATATATGGGGACCTTTCTGTGCCATCCGACATACACACCTGTGTCATTTTCCAAGGGCATTAGTTCTGAGTCGTTTCTACGAAACATAATTTTTCCATACTCCGACGGTAGAGCATTTGAGTGATCCTCGATCTCCAATTTCAGAATGGCGACATTTCCCTCGTAGCGCTGGTCACCTGAAAAGACTTCGTATATTTAAGAATGTCTCACACCTTATTTTTGTTAGATGACGTTATATACATACGCATCAGTTTTGTTGAATAAGGTCCCCTAGTGTTTGGATGAAGTGTATTCAACTTCGGCATAGGTCAGTAAATAATCAGATATTGTTAAGGCCTCACCTTTTTCATAAATTTCGTTTATTATTGGTTTTCCTGCTTTGATCACTCGCGGCCTGATTACGGTATCCACCCTTTGGAATGAAGTAAACAAAGTTTTAAAGCAGTTAGTACCCATTTAACAAGTTACACAACACAGTAAGAAGACGAAGGTGGTCCGCTTCATGCATTTCCTCTTTTCTCTTTAATGCCGAAAATGATAACTGGAAGTGAAATGCGACTCAACTGAGGTAAACGTGCAAACAAACGAAAAGGACAAAACGACAATCATGTCTCTATGGCCAAGGCAACCAGGGGCCCATCGGTAGTTGCTTTTGAACACAAAGCTCCTGTTTGATCCAGTTTATCGCAACAGCCTTAGTGAGACGGAGGAGACGGTAATTCGAATGCCGCAAACGCAGTTTTAACGACGTACCAAATTTGATCCGTGGACCTGATATCATTAAATGCGACTAGATCGAAAATGACGGTGGACGGTGTGAATATGTAACCAGATCTGGGCATGCCTTTGGAGTAGGCTAGTGTTGGAGCCATCTCCTAACGTGCTGCTTCCTCTGGTCACTCAAGGCGTTATTGATTCTGCCTATGTAACTAGCTTAGCCATTACACGCTATTTGGTAAACACAACGGGTGTTAGCCCCGATAAGGTGATTTCCCTTCAGTGAAGGCAACGGCAAATTATGGCTTCGCTTGATGAGGTTTACCTTCGCAGCCCCGAAGATGCTCTGCCTGACCACGATTAGTCGTCTAGTAGTCCTCATTTGGCAATCAACCTTAAAGGGAGCTTGAGGGATGATTGTAATTGAGGTAGACATTGAATCCTCGTTTTAGCAATGAAAGTTCCTCAACTGCGTCAAACGTTTGTAACACGGCATTTCTGTTGTCGACATTTGTATCCAACGGCAAAGATAATCCACTGTTATCTACATGAGGCACTGCAACCGTCCCCACTTAGCATTAACAAGTTTACAACTTGCTCACGATAGACGAAATCGAAAATATTGATTTTCTTTCGTTTAGACACTCTCGAGCAACTGATGGATTGGCTTTGCAGTGACACATTAAGTACATGTTGGCTTGCTCTGATCTCAAGTGTTTTCAATCAATTATGGAATTCGCTGACAAGTTAAGAAGGTGCACTTGCGTAAATTTTGGAAACGCGGTGCATGAACAACGTGAGGTAGACTGAAGAAACGGTCGTTTGTTTTCGAATGTATTACTAGTTAAATGATGGAATGATATGGTAGCTTGGTTGGATCAACACTAATGGAGCTACGTAATCACCTGCCTGACCGATAAAACTACGTACTTCGCATTTAGCCATGTTAGACTTACTGGAGACGAATATCACGAGCAACCTGGAAAAAAATGAAGTTCACGCTTATCGATTGATACGAAAACTGATATCATTTCGCAAGCTGTGAGAAAGGTTAAAGAAATCCTAATAGACTTAGGTGAATGAAATTAGAATAAACCGCTTAAATCTATCGCAGGCCAATCAAGTTGATTTAATTTGTGCCACATAGATATATTCACAGATCCCGCTATGAACATGTGTAGCTTTCACACAACTTTGAAAATCGTTCCTCAATCACTTAATTCTTTAATGCTCTTAATAAATCAGTCAATGTCAAGCGTCAATGTGCTTCCTTGCGAATCAGCATGTAACATCCACATGCAGAATAATAGCTGTCATACCATATGTAAATCAATTAGTAGCTGTTCAGAGACAATCAGTTGGATTATCTTTGATGCCATAATATTTCTAAACAGTACTTGATTTCAGAGGTTCCAATTTCTGAAAAGCAGTTTGGTGGCTACGATTCATGGGGTTACTAATACTTAAATTATGGATTGCTCATTCCTACTCTATGAGGTCATAAATCTGCTCCAACAGGATTGGATTAGATTTTACTGCTGTTGTTGGTTTCGCATATTTGTGCTTGTCAATGTATGAACAACTACCTCAGACAACAATTCAATCAAGTCGCTGTTCTGTGCGTTGCGTCATCCACTGTTGCCCGTTCTTACAACTGAGACAGTAATGAACAGCAGGCATGACGAGTTTGCGGATCAGAACGGGCAGTATGCGCGTTAGTTATGCTGGTCGCATTTTCTATCTCATGCTAGAGGCTTTTCGTTCAGCTAGGTGTTCACAAAGTCTATATTAGTGCATAATGTCTTAAAGTTGATGTATGTCAGGTAGCGGATCCGAGTCATTGAGTGTATTCGAACAACGTGGGCTGCCTTGTGGTTGACTAAATCCATGCTCCTCTACTTTTGGACCCAACGTTCGTAAATCTCGTCGCACATTACACTTATCGAAATCGGCTTTTCCAGCGTCATCCAGAGAATTTAACGCTGCAGTATTATTTAGTACCCACCATCGTTTCATCCGTTCCTGCGAATACATAAGGATTTCAAGGACATCCAGGCATCCAAGCGTTCAACGTATGTTTTTAATGCTATCCAACGTTTCCTTTACCACAAGAATCGGACACATTGCTTGACAGTTGCTGCATGTTTAGCGGTCAGCAGCATAACACCCGCCGAAGTAGCGGGAATGCTACCACAACCGTCAAACCGCAACATTTCACCATGTCTAACCAGGCCTGATCGATAGCACAGCGCCAACCGCACGTGCATTGCCTGTGGGCACACACACTGTGAACCAAAATCGTGTGCCTGTCCGAACACACACGGCACTCGCAATTCCGCGACTGATACCTATTCAATGGTTCGCAGCACAGCAACAAGGAAAACGACTTGTACACTGTCCACCCAGTCGCAACCAACAGTCATGCGTGCTTTGAAATCGTGCTTCAAAACCATTTGGCTTGTACTATTTGGTTGTAACTGCGGAAAGAAATTTCATCCCAGACGCAAAAATATAGCTACAGCGAACATAAAGAAGACATTCCCTAGTAGTCTTCATTCGGTTTTGCATTGATTGTGGGGTCAACCAGCTCGTAAGCTCCATCGCCATGCTGGCAGAGAAATGTGACAAACTAACAACCAATGTGCAGCGAGCAAAGGCTGATTTATCGGTCGCCTTGGAACCAGCTGCAACTGCACTCAACTCCCGTTGCCTAAACATAAGCTCAAACTTGGAACAAAATAGCCATAACTGGTGTACAGTTAACCGCATTCATCAAGCAACCACAAATATGACAGCTGGCGAACAGGCAGGCAACGGAGCATTACCAAGCCCGGCGACTCCAATGCTACTGAGATCAGCCTTTCCGGGAGATGTGTCTGTGTCAGCTGATACTCCATTGCATTCTGGTTTGCCTAACCATACCGAACTATCGCACTGGGGCTAGACCTTACCGTGTTGCCATGGTTTGCCTGCCTCAGATATCCATTGAGCTATGCTGGGTGGTGCATGTTTGCACCTTCAGAGCCACTCATACCAGATTGGTCAATGGATAGAAGCCAGACAAACTCAGCCTCCTGGTCGTCCAGGTTGGGGGTGGAATGGAGGTGGCTCGTCATATCATAAAACGGACTCTGTAGTACAATTTCAAGACCTGCTGCCTTGCGGTAAGGTTTTTGAACCAACGGCTTTGGTTGAGAAACCTAATCGTTCTCCTGTTTAGCCCTAGACAATCTGACAGTATTCTGACCACGCAATACAATGAACCTTTCCTACAATACTTTCTTGATGCTCTGGCCGTCGCAGAGGATAATAAACGGCGCCCTATCTGCTGCATCGAGCAGGGTGGATATGGGTATGGATGCTACTGCTCAGGCCTTCCAGTCTTATACCCATTCGTGCGCTTCTTCATCCTTATCGTCCCGCTCCAACTTTAATTATATCCCCCATTTTCAGTCCCCAATCCTTGGCCCTCTCCCGGCCTACTTCAGTAGTCGCTTGTATTCTAATTTAAAAGCACACACAATCGCAGGGCCTCTCTCCAATCCAGTCGACAAGTACACGTTCAACCAAGCTGACAACGTCAGTTCATCCGTTTCCCTTGGGAGTCCTCGCTTCTCTTTAAGACCGGCATGCCTCAACATGCGCACTTTGCTACAGATTGGTCAACAGACAGCACTTGCCCGCACACTAGAAATTCTATCGATCGATATTTGCTGTTTATCAGAAACCCGCCTCCAAGCTTCGAACTCCGTGCTTACCCTGAGATCCCCCACATGCCACACTGGCTGCACATTCTCATTGCGCCTGTCTGGCGATGATGCAGCTTCAAATGCCGGTCAAGCGGGCATCGGCATTGTTTTGAGTCCCCGGGCTGAAGCTGCCCTGCTCGATTGGATCCGAGTAAACAGTAGGATGTGCGCCGTTAGCTTAGCTGCTTCGTTCCGTGCTACGAAGTCGCGTGGGGACAGACGGTGCCTGTTTGTCATTACGACCTACACCAATACGAACGGTAGCACTGATTCGGTAAAAGAGGATTTCTATCAGCAAATGCACGAGCTTCTTCATTACAGAAGTAGCATGGATATTGTGGCGTTGGCCGGCGATCTAAAAGCTCAAGACGGCAAATAGTCCTCTGGTGAGCTTCATCTGGGCGGCCAACATAGTGTACGCTCCTGTAATGATAATGGTGAGCAGTTGCTACAGCTGTGTGAGGATCCTCGCCACTCGCGAGCACTAACTTTCAACACAGCACCCGCAGAAGCGTGACTTGGCGGCCACCAGCCTCGAGCTAGCCATGGACGTAAATCGCATATCGCGATTAATTACCACTGGAAAAGCTGTGTCCAAAACTGTCGTTCGATTTGGAGCACGAGCGTGGACTCTGACCATGCACTTGTCTGCGCCGACCTCCGGGTGCGTTTCGGTGGAAGTCCGCAACGTCGATATGAACAGCTTGACACCAGTCAGTTGGCGAATCCAGATGTACTGAGTGTGTATCAAAATGCGCTGACATCTGGGCTGAGTAAGCGCCCACTAAACCCCGTCGAAGATCACTGTTCGCATATTCGCAAAATGTTACTGTTAGCAGACACATCTTCATGTGGCAAAGCAAATTGCCAAACCGGACATTGGGTCTCTACGCAGTCTCTAGAACTTACGGATGCTCGCCAACGTATTCCGGCTGGAAGCGAATACAATGAGGCTCGCAAAAATCTCAGGGCAAAACTACGGGCTAGCCTTAGGAAGGACCGCGAAACCTGGTGGTCTCATCATGCCTCTGAGATGGAAACAGCCGCTGCCGTTGGTAATCATCGTGAGTTATTCCGTCTGATACGGGAAACAAGTAGTAGGAGATTTGGTGTTAGCGAGACCATAAGCGACGGGAGTGGGCAGCCGATCCAAAGCTTATCAAAACGTTTGGAGCGTTGGGCTGAACACTTTGCAAGGCAATTTAACCAACCTGAGTTATCGCTTTCTTCTTCGGGCGTTGAGCGCCCTTCTCCCTGGGCCGTCTCCTTGGATCCGTCCTCCCGTGCAGAAGTTGAACGTGAGAACAGGCTGTTGAGATTTCATAAGGCCGCATGGGGCAGATAAAATGCCCCCAGCCTTCTTCAAATTCGGGAGACCTCCACTAGTAGATGACGTACACGAGTTACTAGCAAAACTTTGGGAGCAGGAGACTGTCCCGACAGACTAGAACCGCTCTGTTATTGTCCCAATTTTCAAGGAAAACCCGTTTGGAATGTGGCAATCATAGAGGGGTCAGTCTAATTTCGATTGCCTCTAAATTGCTTGCCTCTGTCATTCTCCACAGAATGACTGGCACTCAGGAAAACCAGATTCATGAACAGCAAGTCGGATTTCGTCGAGGTCAGGGCTGCATTGACCACATCTTCACTATGCGTCAGTGGTTGGATCACCGCCACGTTTATTGGCGACCTACCGTTGTCGTGTTTCTTGACATGAAAGGTGCCTTCTACTCAGTCGATCGATGTGCCCTTTGGGACTGTTTGCTGAGGAAAGGTGTGCCTGATGAATATGTAAACATTATCAACGAGCTGTACGCACATAGTTCGGGCAGAGTGGGGGTTTATGGCAAACTATCACCGCGCTTCAGTTTCACCAGTGGTGTGGGACAAGGATACCCACTGTCACCTTTCCTCTTCAAATTCGCTATTGATCAAGTCATGGAAACAGCGTTCGCTCGACACGACCTAGAAGGTTTGGAGCTACATCCTGGCGCGCGACTTCTTGACATGGAGTACGCGGACGATAACGCCCTAATCTGGGACAGCTCCCAAACATGCCACGAAACACTGAACCGATTAGCATTGGGTGTCAATCGTTTTGGGCTATGCTTTTCTCCATCGAAATGCAAAGTAATTCTCTAAGATTGGCAGGGACCCAACCCTGCGCTAACGCTTGGTGGTGATCTGCTAGAAGTCGTTCAGGAATTCAAGTACCTGGGCAACTATATTA